AAAACAGAAACAATGAAGGAAGTAGAGGAAACTAAGTTGATACAAAGAAATACAGATATTGAATACACATGGTTCCCAACTTAGAATGGTTCTACTTATAATTTTTTTTTTACTTTACAATGGTGCAAAAATGGTGCAAAAGCAATAAGCATTTGGTAGAAACCATACGTGGAATTTTGAAAATGGATCCAATAAATTACAGAAAATATTTGAAACTTCACTATAAAATAGAGCTTTGTGTTAGAGTGACTTTGCCCAACTGTAGGTTAGTGTAAGTATTCTGAGCACACTTAAGGTGGCCTAGGCTAAGTTAATGATGTTCAGCAGGTTATGTATATTAAATGCATTTTCTTTATTCCCTTTTTAAAGGCTTTATTTATTTATTTGAGAAAGAGAGTGAGCAATAAAGAGTATGAGTGGGCAGAGGGAGAGGGAGAAGCAATCTTGCCCCTAAGCAGGAAGCCCAATGCAGGGCTCAATTCCAGAAGCTTGGCATCATGACCTGAGCGGAAGGCAGATGCTTAACTTACTGAGCCACCCCAGCACCCCTTAAATGTGTTTTCAATTGAACAATATTTTCATTTTGTGATGGATTTACTAAGATATAATCCCACTGTAAACTAAGTATGATCTGTGCATAAAACAAGAACTATTTCAAGTATTTTCAAAAGGAAAAAAAGATAAGAAAAAACCCTGGAAATAAAAAATACACTGGCAATTAAAAATTCAACAAGGGAGTTGGAAGATAAAATCGAGAAAAACTTGAAAAAGAATAAAGAGATAAAGATATGGAAAATATGAAAATGAACATAAGAAACATAGAGGATTGTTATAGGAAGTTAAAGAGTAGACCCCAAAAAAGGAGTTGAAGGAGGTGAACAAATATTATTAAATATAGGGGCACCTGGGTAGCTCAGTCGGTTAAGCATCTGCCTTCGCCTCAGGTCATGATCCCAGGGTTCTGGGATCAAGTCCCGCATCAGGCTCCCTGCTCTGTGGGGAGCCTGCTTCTCCCTCTCCCTCTGCCTGCAGCTTGCCCTGCTTGTACGCTTCCTCCTTCTCTCTCTCTGTGTCAAATAAATAAATAAAAATCTTTAAATATATATATAGATATATTATTAAATATAGAATACAAGGAAATTCCCTAGAAGGACAGGAGCCTCTACACTTAAAAGATTTGCTATGAATGCCAAATCCAAGAGTTTTTTTTAATAAAGTCTACTCCTAACCATATCATTGTGAAATTTCAGAACTTGAAGGATAAAGAAAGCTCTGAAAAGCTTCCAGAGAGATACGAAGACAGGTGACAAAAAGGAATTACAATCAGCAAGATACTGGATTACTCAAAAGCACTGTTTACTACAAGACTATCAAACAATGTCTTCAAAATTATGAGGAACAATGAGTTCTAACTCAGAATTCCATACTTTCTTAATCTATCACTTAAAATGAGGATCAAATCAAGGTATTTTAGACATGCTCATCCTCAAAAAAAAAAAATGACTTTCAACACAACTTTTCTTTGGCAACGAGAGTGTATGTCTTTAAAAAAAAAAAAAAAGGAAAGATAACATATCAAACCTACAGAGAATATGGATCAGACTCAAGAAAAAAAGAAGACTCAAGAAAAGACTCCGAGATAGGTCAGGAAGTGGGAAGGGATAAGTCATTGATAATTTATTTGATATGTTTGACTATTTGGGAAAATTACTGAAAACCATGAGAAATGTTCCAAAATAATTTTTTTAAATAATTGATATATAGTCAAATAAAAGCTAATGGAAAAAATTCATAGGCAATTTTTAACTCTAGGAAAAATAAAAAATAGAAGGAAAAACATATATAGTTATAATGGTACAGTCACTATAAATATAATGTTAACTACTGATGTAACCAAAAATTGTAAAATGGCTTATTGGGAGATTAGGGATAAAAAGACACAAGAGAGATAAATACTAATATAATGAATTATATTAATTCATTATGAATTAATATGAATTCAACAGAAACTATTTAAAATTGTTAAGTCAATAAATAGCAGCTAAAATGTATTATTTTAAAATATGGTAAATACACTGATTATAAACCCAAACTATCTGATTTTATAATTACACGTGTTTACTTCAGTGAATATAGAGTTTAAAAAAAGAAAACTCACTGATAACAAAAGGAGATATGATCAAAGAAAAGCAGGATAAGACTGGCATTCACTCATATCCAAAAGAAACAGTCAATATACTCAGTTTTTAAAAGAAAATCTTGGCAAGTAGTATGGTCTCTCCACTTGGCTATTTTTTCCCTGAAAAGCAGCCGAACATGTCCCTTCATCAACCAACCCCTGTTGTCTCCCTGGAATATCTCTTTGGAATCTATTCCAAAAATCAAGTCTTAAAATCATTCAAAATTATATTCAGACATTAAGAGGTTAGTTCTTGATGAACTGTAATCAGGAATTTTAATCAAACCTTCAGAAATTGCTACATTGTCCTTGAGAAAGAATTATGCATTCTAACTAGCTGTTAGATCTTTTTAATTGTTTCTGTGAAATGAGTATTAAAAAATCTCAATTTAAAACATCTGCAAAATAAAAAAACACCCTAAGAGAATCAGCAAATGAGCAACAACTGTAACTTCTATGTATCAAAGAAAGTTCTTTTCCTGCAGGATGTGGACCATGGGAGGTAAATACTGATTAATCTTATATTTATGTTAATTGAATGATGAATTATGTACTCTAAAGAACTATGCTTACGTTATATATAAACAATTTACACTGATGCATGGTTGACAAGTGTCTGATTTATTGAATCAATAAATGCTCTTATAAATGTGTACAAAAAGATTTTATGTATCAGTTCACAAAGAACATATTGATTTAGTGAACTACATAAATATATGCAAATCTAACTCTTAAGAGTACCCAATAAAAAAGTAGCTATATAGATTTTCAGTAAATTATGAAACCCTTGAGTAATGATTTCATAAGCAAGATATATGCATTCCAGCATATGGAAACTGCAGAAATCAATCACTCCATACAACCAGCATCACAATGAACTATTAAAATACAAATTAGGAAATGCTCAGATTAACCAAATTTTATTTAAATAAAAGCACTCTGAAAGCATAAGATATTTGACAAAACAAAAAGTAATGATGCTATTCTTTTTCTTATTAGTAGTAGTAATATTATTATTGTTTCCATTTATTCTGGGTACAATTCTAAGCTCTAAATTAAATATTTGTGCTTGTGTTTATTTACTATAACAAGTTATTATTTCTATGTAGAAATTAGAGAGATTAGAGGCCCAAGATCATGAAAGACCTAGATTCAAACCAAAACCTATGGACTCAAAACCCCAGTCTTAACCACTAAAAGCAGACTTGTTTCTGACATTAACCAACACAAGAATTTTACAATCAAAAGGCTCCAGGTTACCAAATGGGAGAGGAAGAGGATTAAATGATTTTCAGGTAAATGAAAATTGATACCAGACATGAAAAGTTTTGGATCCCATAAACCAACTATTCAGAATATACAGTTTCTAAAACTATTTAAGGAAAATATTTAAACCCAATAAAAGATAAGGAAAAGAATATAAAACTTCACAGAAACAAAGTTCTAAACTTTTAAAAAATTTTTAAAAATTTTAAAAATTTTAAAAATGTTCCAACTCATTAGTAACCAGATGCAAATTAAGATAACAATGAGATATGATTTAACACTATAATATTGCTATGAACTTTAAAATGTAACATAAACTACTGGCAAGAATGGGGGAAATGGTGACTTTCATTCTACCTGAAATATAAAATGATACAAACAATTTAGAAAGCAATTTTGAATACCAGCCTATCTTTAACAATTCCACTTTTAAAATACACCTAAGAGAGAATCTAGTTCAATTATATAAAGAGACATATAAAGATGTTCAATAAAATTAGTAACCATACTAACTTGAAATAACTCATAATAGTGAAATATAATAATTCTACTAAAATGAAATTGTTATCAGATCATCCAAGGTTTTAAAAGTGAATATATATCATGTTTTATGGAAAAGATGTATTTCTGGCATGGTGTATTCAAAATATGTCTGTAGGGGTTCCTGGGTGGCTCCTATGGTTGGGAGTCTGCCTTGGGCTCAGGTAATAATCTCCAGGTCCTGGCTCTAGCCCCACGTCAGGCTCCCAACTCAGTGGAGAGTCTGATTCTCCCTCATCCTCTGCCTCTCCCACCTGCTCAGGCTCTCTCTCTCTCTCTGACTCTGTCTCAAATGAATAAATAGAATCTTTAAATGTGTGTGTGTGTGTGTGTGTGTAAAGTGAACAATTCAGGACCTTCATTTTGAACATAAAATTATTTATTAATGATTTTCTTCAAATTACACACTTCGTCAATATGTTGAAACACATCCAATATTAAAGAATTCTTTGACACATATCCACTGGAGACACCACAATATGACTAACATTCCCAAACTCATCTGTTTTACCAAATGCCTGGGGTCTTGAAAGAACAAAGATTATAAATCAAAACTAAAAATCAAGAAGTTAAAGGTTAAAAACACTTTTGGGGGGGGGCGCCTGTGTGGCTCAGTGGGTTAAAGCCTCTGCCTTCGGCTCAGGTCATGATCCCGGGGTCCTGGGATCGAGCCCCACATCGGGCTCTCTGCTAGGCGGGGAGCCTGCTTCCCTTCCTCTCTCTCTGCCTCTCTCTCTGCTTACTTGTGATCTCTCTCTCTCTGTGTCAAATAAATAAACAAAATCTTTAAAAAAAAAAAAAACCACTTTTGGGGCCCAAACCACAAGTAAGTATATCTTGAAGTTTTAAAATTCAGTGAATCTTAAAAATTTAAACATTCCAAAAATATCTATCTAACCTGAACTCCTACCACCTTCCTCCCAATTCCCTTTTCAGAACTTAACAAAGCACTTTACTTATGTTTCCCAAACACGTAAGTTCTTTAGTTTCCAATGCCTTTGTAAATGCTGTTCACTTTATCTAATTGTTTTATCTCCTGATTGGGTCTACCCACTTCATCGTCCAGAATCTTCCTCCTTCAAGAACTTTCCCAAACTTGTGCCATTTCCCAGCAAACTACAGACCTCTTTTCTCAATGATAGCTTCTCCATTCTTCTATTTCAGTAGTTATTACTCTACCTTATAGCTATGTGTTTACGTGTTGGTTTTCTTTAACTGAACCATCCATTACCTAAAAGCTAAGACGCTATGTCTACTTATCCTTGAAATCACCATTACCTTGAGAACTGGACTTGGCAGATACACACATGTTGGCTAAGTAATTGAGTATCATGCTTAATGAATGCAAAGGGGCAAGGAATGAATGCATGGTTTAAGGAAACTGAAAACAATAGCCTTACTAGATAATGGTGAAATCATAAAAGTTCATCCACGGAGGTTTATAATTGGGATGTGAATAAATTTATTATTATCATCATCATCATTATCATTACTGTTGTTACCATTATTATACCTGGTTTGAATAATCACTCTATTTCAATTTGAAATTACTGTAACACCCACATGAGCAAGGTGTTCTGACCATCAGCAATCTAAAGAGTTATGACAATAACCTCGATTCACAAACAGTATGACTCTTCACCTCTCAAAGACCATACCCAACTCAAGCTGACCAAGCATCATCCAGCACTTACTGTGCCGGTCGTATTGTAGCAGGTAGGAGAGTAGCTCTGGAGCCAGTCTGAAAGTTCAAATCCCCATCCCTCACTTCCCACTTATGTTACCTGGGACGAGTCACTTAATCTCACTATGTCCCAGTTTACTAATCCATAAAATAGATAAAACAGTGGTACCTAATTTAACAGACTACTCTAAATATTAAATGAATTAATACATAAAAAATATTTGGAATGGTGCTAACATATAGAAAGTAAAGTGTTCATCAACCATTATATATCATCACACTTAGACTGTCAACCCTATAAAGTGTGAATTACTTATTTTACAAGTTGCCGGAAATACCTGTCATGAAATACACTAAAATGTCTATATAGTAGGCAATGTTTGTCGCCTATAGCATCCTTTCTTTCCTCCTGGGGGTGGGGGAGAATTCCTAATCTCTTTCAAGCATCCACTTCTCTTGCTTCCAAGACTTAGAGTAAGATGGCCCCATCCTTAGCTCCAAACTGGCCCAATTAAGAATGAAAGAAAGGATTTGAAGTCCTGACTTACAGGACGGATTTCCCCTTACTCCTTCCATTGAATCTGAACAAGGAAGCAAGTAAAATACCAGTTGCTAATGGCAGCCATCCTGAAAGCCGGAGGAAAACCCACCTTAGGATCAGTTCCTTGATGACATCACTTAGCCTCTGCCCACAGCTTCCGGCAATTCCCATCTTGCATAATAAATTTCCTTCATATTTAAGCCAGTTTGAGTCCCAGAGTTTTGTTATTTACTATCAAAATACCATAAATCAAGCAGAAGCTGTGTGTCTGGTGTTTCTTTGTAACAAAGGTAACCTGGCTGAGACAAGGATACCCTCCCTGACAGTATCACAACAGACTATACCACTCAGGTCAAGAGCATACTTCGTTTAGGGTTACTTTCCCATATGCTGCCCACAGTGCTGCAATTATAAAATACTGTATCCATAAAAGAGTTATTTAGCCCCAAGAATTGATAAAAGGTGAAAGATGAACACAATCTGAAGAGAATCCAGAGCATTCTTAGACCCAAGACTTGGGAAATAATGCACTCACCTCTCACCGTTGATACAGAAACTGTTGATTCCCCAGTCACTACTATCAAAAAGTACTTTGTAAATCCTAATATTATGGGGCTCAAGGCTGGTTAGAGTTGTTTATTATGCCAATCCCAACAAATGTATAGCGCACGTTCATTTTCGTTTTTGCCAAAATACTTAACATGTCACGAAAATGTTCTCCAATACTCTGATACCTTAGAGAGGTTCTCACACTTGAATCCCCTCAGGATTCCCCTGGGAATCTCGTTAAAATTCAAGTTCCCAGGCATCACATCCAGCAAACAGGATTCAACTGTTCTGAAATGGAACTCAGAAATCTACATTTTGTCTAGACTTTAATAATTCTGATGAAACCAAGCCCTGAACACATTTGAAGACCCACTGCCTAAGACCAGATTCAAAAACTATATGAAGGAAATGCAGACAAATGGCAACACATGACAAGGTATCTTACAATGACAAGTCCTAGCCCAGATCCACAGGCTCTTTTTAAACATACACATTTTTAGTTCCTCTGCTAGTTATCTCCGTATCACTTAGATCTTATTTTATCACCTGCACATTGTTGACAGTGTATCTATAGAAACTCTATTATTTTTAGTTTTCAATTGGTTTGCACCTTGGTGCCTTGAAATAATAACCCTAGATCGTTTCTCAGTCCATCGATTTCTGTCAATAACTCAACGCCCCACTACCCTCCGCCGCTGAGCCAGGTATTACAAGAAACTAGTCCCTAGATGTTCAGCCGAAAGGTATCACCAGTGTTCTTTTACTTCTTTTACTTCTAAAATCACACGTTCTCCTGAGCCATGCTGACAGAGAGCAACTAACTGCCTTAATCAGTGAACTATTTCTGAAAGTAATAGAAGTACTTGCTTTAAAAACTTCATTTTCAATAATTTATCTCTATGTAATTACGTTTCCAATTTTTATATGCTTTATTGCAGCGCTCCGATTTTAAAAAGAAAATGAGCCCAGTTAACTAAAAATAAGTCAGTCATCTTTATCAAATTAGTATTTTTCTTTTCTCACTTGCATGACACATTAGGAAATGGCAATTAAAAGAGAAGCAAGCTAATTAGCTACCGTGGTGGCTTTCCTATAATCAAATGAGGCACGTAGACGCAGAAAAACTACATCTCACTCACACGTAGAAAAACCCCTGATTTACTCTGGAGTTTGGAAATTCATCAAAGCACAACACAAACCCAACGCGAAGTTCTCCTGCAGTATCAGTCATGACAATAATTACAACTTTAAAGTGCACGTTTTTCAACGTTGAAAACAAAAATGTCCACCAAAACATTTTCCACCATGTGCATTAGTGTCACTAGGTATCCAGGAGATAATCAGAATGGCAATGAAGGCTCTGGTGCTGGCAGCTTGGAGTCTGCCTGTTTGTAAATGTCATATCCACCCTGTGTGTAGTCCTCAAGCTTTCACTCCCTCTCTAAGGAAGTAAATCATTAATCATTAAGTAATTCTACACTTAAAAAATTATACTGCCCTAGAGTAATCTTGCAACTCTACGCACAGATTAGCAAATCCAGGCTTCCAAAAACATTTTAAAAAACCATTCTTCATGTTTATTTTAAAGCAGCACTGTCCAAAAATAATATATCACAAACCACATATGAAATTTTAAACTGTCACGTCAAAAAGATAAAAAGAAAGATGACATCAATTTTAGGGATGCCTGCGTGGCTCAGTCGGTTAAGTGTCTGCCTTTGTCTCAGGTCATGATCGCAGCCAGTGTCCTGTACTTTGGTCAGGAGAGCTTTTCAAAGATGGTAGAAAAATAAACAGTGTTTTCTGATTATGAGCTGAAAGAAGACAGTTCAAATCGCCTTTTCTTGGGGTGCGTGGGTGGCTCAGTTGTTAAGCGTCTGCCTTCAGCTCGGGTCATGATCCCAGGGTCCTGGGATCAGGTCCCTCATTGGGCTCTTTGCTCAGCGGGAGGCCTGCTTCTCCCTCTTCCATTCCCTGTGCTAGCATTCCCTTTCTTGCTGTCTATTTCTGTCAAATAAATAAAATCTTTTTTTTTCTTTAAAGATTTTATTTATTTGACAGACAGAGATCACAAGTAGGCAGAGAGGCAGGCAGAGAGAGAGTGAGGGAAGCAGGCTCCCCGCTGAGCAGAGAGCCCAATGCAGGGATCTATCCCAGGACCCTGAGATCTTGACCTGAGCCGAAAGCAGAGGCTTTAACCCACTGAGCCACCCAGGCGCCCAAATAAATAAAATCTTAAAACAACAACAACAACAACAACAAAAACTGGTCTTTTTTTCAACCCTTTGTAATCAAAATCTGCAGATGCCAAGGAGAATTACTGAGATATATAGATGTAAGAGCTAGCCGCAGGAGTCAATAAATAGCCCATCTCCCAGCTAGAATAAGGAAGACTTGGAGCCAGCCTCTTCAGCCTAAGGCAGATTTCACACTCTGTTTGTAGAATGCACCCATAAGACAACTTCCAGCTACAGCAAAGATTTAATGAGAGTAAAGAGGGTAAGTTAAATGTTAAATAAAGCTCAAAATCACAACAAAATCAATCATTTCGATAATCAATTAAATCTTAAATTTTGCCTTATGGAGTGGTACTGTCTCCTATAGATCATGTCTAAATATGGAAAATTAATGTTCAAAGTACGAATGTTATGGGGCTCCTGTCTGCCTCAGTTGGCAGAGCATGGGGCCCTTGATCTCGGGGTTGTTGAGTTCCAGCCCCATGTTGGGCGGAGTTTACTTAAAGAAAAAAAAAAAGAAAAAAAAAAAAAAAAAGCAGGGGCGCCTGGATGGCTCAGGGTCCTGGGATCCACCCCGCATCGGGCTCTCTGCTCAGGGGGGACCCTGCTTCCCCCTCTCTCTCTGCCTGCCTCTCTGCCTACTTGTGATCTCTCTGTCAAATAAATAAATAAATCTTTAAAAAAAAAAAAAGGGTGTAAAGAATGAATGTTCAGACTATTATAAAATGAGGGGCTTGGAGAAGCCTTAAGGATCTAACACAGAATCTTTTATACAAGAAAAGCAGAAGTTGCAAGCTACGGAAGCATCAATCCATGGACATCGACAAACTCACTGCAAATTTGTTATTTATTACTGAAAATGGATTGCAAGTGTATTTAAATTTACTCTGATCATGACTGCATTGCTATTTCTCACTGAGTACATCAGTAATAGGGGCTGAAAACCCTAAGTGTTTCTGTTTTTTTAATAAAACATTATTTTTAAATTTAAGTTCAACTAATTAACATATAATGCCTAAGTGTTTTTACAATACCAACTTTTGGGTATATATTATCTTAGCAAACACTGTACTGTGCCTGGAGAAACCCACACAACCATCGGGCTGAGTTCCTAAAAGATAACACAGCCACTGCTGGAGAATATCCTTCAAATCTGACCCTTTTTATCCAACTGCCAGTGGATATTCTACTTTCCTTCCTCTACTGCATTACTCCCACTTTACTCAAAAACCAAATTAATTCAAATGGCTTGATCTAGGTTTGTTTTTTTTTCCCTCAAATTTCAGTATTTTAATAGTTCCGAGTAAGATGTGTAGAAAAAAGTAAGAAACAACAAAAGTAATTGGAAAAAACAAAAAACAAAAACTAAAGAGCATGCCTGCAAGCAGA